CCCCAAAACCCCAAAACCCCAAAACCCCTGGAGCCATGAAGATTATTGAAAATAGCACTTTTGCACTAAACTTGCTTAGCTTTACAAACTCTTTTCACTAATGGATCCGAGATAACTATCTCTTCTAGTCAGACTTTTCAGTCTAAAGTAGTTTTTGAACTTACCTTTTTCTGTCATATTTCAAAGGAAAAGTGGGGATCATTCCTCGGATCTTATTGTATCCTGCCTACATCAAGATCATAGCTTGGAATATACGTTAAGGAAGTATTCTGTAGGATTAAGAGCTTACCTTTTGATGTGAGACTTGGCCTAATAATATTGCTCTAAATATTACTCAATATGCGCACTCTTAGCTCGGTTGTTCGAAGGATGCCTCCTCAGATCCTTCTTGAGAGCCGGACGAATAGGCAATGCTTGTTTTGGCTCAGTCAAGTACATCCCTCCAGCCCTGATAGAAGGAAATTTAGACTTTGTCAATGCACTTTTCTTATAAAGAGGCAGCTTCTTGTTTAAATAGGTTTTTATACAATTCTTGATTCTCTTCTTTGAATTGAAATGGCTCCTCTGGCTCTTAGACCGGATTATATTCTTACATTTATTTTAAAATATCCGGAATAGATTTTACTAAATTACAAGTCAGAACTTATAAATGAGTGGATATGAAGTATAAAGAGACCAACACCTAAAGAAGCAAATGTGTATTAAAAATCTACTTATAGCCCAAGATGAGGGATATCTTGCACTCCTTTGAGTCCATCTACCAAGGACAGAAATCTTGGTATGTAAAGTTATCAGGCTAAATATTGAGTTTTATCAATAGGAAACTTGAACCTGATAATATCCGGCTCATAACTTACCTCAGTCTGAGATGCCTCCGTTGATATAGACCTGGGTGACATTCCTATCATCGTTAGTGTCTAGACCTCACAATTGGGCTCTTACTATATTTAGTACTTTAGTAAAACATCAAAAAGCCATCTAAGTTCTATGGGAGATTTCTAGAACCAGTGCATCTCAGATGAAAAATATTTGAGAAAAAGCCATGTCTTGGTAGCAAAAGGTAATATCATTGAACAGGCTGAGAGCACCTATTAATGCATAATAGTCTAGAACTTGGGAATTATGATTGTAGATATTAAGAAAGCTCATTACCTTCTGGTCATCCGCTCATGATCTTGTTCTCAGTTTGAGCTATAAGTTCGGAACAAATTTACTACACAAAAGACTCAGGATTAGCCAATATTAGTTCTGAACGGTTCACTGGACTTTCATATGGTGATACAGAGGAGATTGTAGGATAAACTTCCTGATATGGGCTAGAAATAGGTGAGAACTGAAAAATAATCAGGAAAGCTCCAAGGAATTACCTTCATATGTACTGTTTCTTTTGCATATCTATGGATCATTAAACCATACCCATAGAGTCCCAAGCATGGATTTAATATAAGGAAACTTACATTGATCTGCTCTTGACTGATATCCCATTATTGGTCTTTTCAATTGAGCTAGCTGGTTTCTTCCAGAAACAGGATTTGTTGGTCATTTATTTATACTGATCTTGATAATCTCTAGGCTCTGTTCTTGGCTCTTTTTAGTACTTTGGACTCTAAAGTGGGAAGGTTAGGAGGGTTAGAAGGTGGAAGTCTTGGAGGGTATGGCATCTAACTTTGGCCACTGACATCCAATCCAGTTGCCTTATTGGCCACCTTACTTGGCATTATAGCTTGGCTCAGCGACCAGAGAGCCAGAATGGGGATTTATGCGGCTCTCTTTTGGTCTGAGAGGGGCTAGGTTCTGGCTATAGCCTGACTTGTGAGATGAGGGTTACTTCGTTTTGGAAGAGGCTTTAGGTCACGGTAGACTGGGTGGTGGAAGTGCATTGTTTCAGGGATTTTAGGAGAGATTTGGAGGTGCTGATCCCTTTGGGGGGTTCTTAGGGTGTCCTAGAGGGTTAGAGGGTGTACTTGCCTGGAGGAGGTAGGGATGAAGGAGATAAATTTGACATTTTTTATTTTTTGCAATTTTTGTGATTGTTGAGGGGTTTTGGGGTTTTGGGGTTTTGGGG